CTGAAAACATCAGTGTGAAACTGATGCACAGTTCCTGGATCTGTTGTTGCTACTCATGGCCCAGGCTCATGGAGAGGGTTACCTCTTCAATGCCACCCTTGCCTTTCCTGTCGTGATAGGCTCCTCTAGGCCACTCGGTATTGTCTTTGTGGGCTGTGAACTGAAGAACCTTGAATTCTCATGAATAAAAGGGCTGTAGAGAATTAACATAGTATACCTTAAGCTTAAGGTTAAGGTCTGGGAATGCTATGAGGGTAACTAATTTCTCTTGTGCACTCTCGGAACATGAACGGTCCATCCCGGGATGCTTCCATCTTTTTGGCCTAGAGCACCTTCAAGACCATGACTTGCTCACCTACCTTGAAGGAACATTCTCTGGCATGTTTATCATACCAGGTCTGCTCTTGCTGAGCATTCTGTAAGCTTGGTTGAGCAAGGGCTAAAGAGTCTCTAGTGGTATTTTGCAGTATGCCTATGAAATCCAGACTGAGAAACTTAACCAAACAAAATAAATACAGGCAGTCCCCGAGTTACACGGATCCGACTTATGTTGGATCCGCAGTTACGAGCGGGGCCCTCCCTCTCCCTGGTCTCCAGCAGACCAGGGAGAGGAAGCAAAGCGGCGGAACACGCGGGCAGCGGACAGCCCAGATGCGTCTTTGCTCTGCAGACCAAGGTGATGTTGAGCAAAGCGGAGCTGTCCACTGCCCGCGTGTTCCGCCTCTTTGCTCCCCGTCCTCCTGGTCTGCAGACCAGGGGTACGGGGAGCACAGCAGAGCAAAGCCGCGGAGCCTGGGGTTCTTAAGTTGAATCTGTATGTAAGTCAGAACTGGCGTCCAGATTCAGCCGCTGTTGAAACTGATCAGTTTCAGCAGCAGTTGAATCTGTATGTAAGTCGGAACTGGCATCCAGATTCAGCCACTGTTGAAACTGATCAGTTTCAGCAGCGGCTGAATCTGGACGCCAGTTCCGACGTACATACAGATTCAACTTAAGAACAAACCTACAGTCCCTATCTTGTACATAACCTGGGGACTGCCTGTACCCGGATCATAACTAAACATACATTTCTCCATCTACTCACGATGCGTACTGATCCGTACTTCAAGGCCCAGTCCATATCCTTGCCCAATACTCCTTGTAGACATGGTAATTGTCTGATTACTTCATCTTGCTTTCTCCAGTTTCTAACTTAGAACTTACACAAAGAGAGCAGGCAGGTATGTTACCTCAATTCAGGTTTCAGCACTGTATCCCATTCATTCTCCTTGCTCCCTGCCAACCCTCTTAGCTACTCGAATTTAACCCTTTAGTCACCGTGTGCTAGCCAGCACCCCTTTTATCCATCACAGATTCGTAGTACCAAAATACTCTTGGCCTCAGTAGCTACTGTTCGTATATTAATCTGCTCAATAGGTATTTTGCAAACATTCTAAAGCATACAGATTTGTAAAGCTCCGATAATTGTCCCTCAGATTTATGTTCACTCCTTGCCACTTCAAAGTAATATTTTATTAATGTAATTGTAAATTCTATTTTTGTGCACACCTTCTAGTGCAATAGAGCTATTAAATGTATAGGCTTTTGTCGGTTAATTTTTGGGGAGAAGTAGGTTTTAATATGTATTGCTTGATTTATAATGTTTTCCGGGGTATTTTAAACACAGTATTATGTACTGAATATATTTCTTAAGGTATAGATATTGCAGAATTCTAATGAATGCCATTAAAAGTCAAATATTAAACAATCAGATACTCTGATTTTAATTTTCAGGTTGAACAGTTATTTTAAAAGTAAAAATGGAGCTTGGCTTTTATTTCTTAATCTTGCTTTTCTTCTAGGGCTAGACAAACAGTGATTCGTAACACATTATCCTGTTAGTGATTGATTATATTTACTGCAAAGGGTGTATTTTTTTTTTTGTATATATTTACTGCAAAGGGTGTATTTTTTTTGTATTAAACTAAAAACCAATTTAAGTAGAACATTATCCTATAGTTCATTTTGGCTACTGAACCCTTCTATAAAATTCATCATGCTAGTTCATATTCCAGCTTTATTGGTCCTGTGTTACTATGGAAAATTTACAGAGTAGTTACATTTTCTGTGAGAATTTTATCAGTGGCACAAGTTAGTCGTGTCCTTTCGCATTGACTGTACTTGTAATGGTGTGAGAGCCCTAACATTAGTAAGTTAGCTGGCAGAGATGGCATGTTGCACTGCACAACATGGACACATACTGACCCCAGCCACTTGAGAACAAGTTACAGAGAACTGACATTCCTTTGGTTAACATTAGCAGTCATGAGGCTGACCAGCACACCTAGTCAATACTTGGCAGTGCATGAATAAGAGCTAAAAGATTAAATGTTGATGTCCATGCTGACTACCCTGACAAACAAAATCATAGGGTCACATCACTGTAACCCTTTAAAAAAAAATTGGGAGCAAGTACAATGGTCATACGCTAGTGCTTCCTTCCAACAACTTCAGCTAGTAATTGCTAAGTGTAGTGACATATGGGTTGGGTCCTGTGTTGTGATACCTGGTGTCCCCTTCCAACAACTTCAGCTAGTAATTGCTAAGTGTAGTGACATATGGGTTGGGTCCTGTGTTGTGATACCTGTGTTGTGACATCCACTCAGGATGACACCTGTATGTGCTCAGGAAACTAGGGTGTTTTCCCTTGGGGAAATAACTAATGCAGCTATCTTAATGAGTGCTGTGTTGTATAATTATTAATATCATTACTAATAACCCAGTGCATGAGACAAATGACAGTAAGAGAAACTCTAACATAAGACATGCTACACTCCCAAAATTATAGTATAACAAAGGAGTTTTATTGGAGACAGGGA